CAACAAGGGATTGGAATAGGGGGTTGCTGAGGTAGTGGCAACTACCGCAAGGCAGTTTGGGGGATGGCCAGTTGGCAGAAGTGGGGGAGAGAGAACTGAGAGGGAAAAGGGAGCCGACGGAGAGATGTGATAAGAAGTTGGTTAGGTCCGAATAGTTGGTCAATTTGGTCGTTGAGTTGCCTAGACGTGCGTTTACGGTGGCGAGAATGGAGTGGTGGAGGGAGGCGTTGGAGGTTTTGGAATAGCCAAAGTTCCCGACAAATACCAACGGAGAAAGAAGACAGGGACAAAGAAGAGGATAGAAAGAGAGAAGCGGAAGGAAGAGGTGTGAATGGGGTAGGAGGGAGGTAGAAGGAGTCAAAGCGGCAGCCGAAGGTGGGTGAGGGGGGAGGGAGGGAGGGAAGGAGAACATCAGAATATAGAGAGAGGTGAAGTGGATGGTGATGCAATCCCACCCTATCTACACATTAGTTACCCACGTTGAATGGAACCGTCGTTTGTTCATGACCATTGGCAGTCGTCCAGTTGGTTAGCACCGCATTCCTGTATACCAAAAGGTAGGGAGGGAGAAAAATGGGAAGAAATAATGAGTGGAGCTGGAGTAGAAGCTATCCTCCTAGCACTACATCTACCTCGTGGCCTCTACTTTCTTCTACTGTTCATCCTCTACCTACGCCTAGTCCTGCTAACCCTCCGTGAGTGGCAATGCCACTGCCAATGTGTCAGTCCTAGCAGCGGCAACAACAATGTCCTGGCAATTGGAAGGTGGCGCTACCTCAGTGTGGTGTCAGTGTGGGGTCAGTGAATCTATGTCGGTGCTTTTGACGCCGATGATGGTGGGTTTGGCGTGGGCGTCCCCCACGGTATCGCTGCGTCCTCGTTGTGACATGGAGAGGACCACCCTCATCCACCTGGTGCATCGTTCCCCTCTTAACTTCCTCCCCCAATTTCCCATCCAGCGCCTCATCTCCAGACCCCTCCTTCTCCGGAGGCCTCTTTTCCTCTCGTCGTCTTCTCTTCCCACCACAGCTCTTCGTTGCGTTATTCACACCTCTTCCCGCTGCCCCCGTGCTGCCTCTTCATATTTTTGCTGGCTTTGAATATTGGTTGACCTGCAGCTTGTATCAACGCCGTGGTCCTCCACAT